GTTAAAAATAATGTGCATAAGATGTACATTAAAACTATAGGTTATACGAGAGAAATGTTTTAGAATATGATTCTAATTTTATAATAAATAATTAATTGTTAATTATCTATGTATATATATATTTATTAATTATTAATTGGATTAAAAATTACTTATATTAATTAATTTGATTAATTATATATATATATATATATATATATTAATTATTATATATATATTAATTATTTTATATATATATTTTAATTATTATTATATATTATATATATATATATATATTAATATGAATATTAATAATAATAATATTATTATTATTAATATTAAACTCCCCTGCAAAATTGCAGGGGAGTGGGAGGTTTTGTAACTCACACGTCACCCTTTTTCTTCTTCTTCAAGAGGGGAATGGGAAAACAGAAGGTTACAGAACAGGAAAACTCCCAGAATTGCTCTCAAAATTCTCTCAATCTCTCTCTCTCTCCTATCAAGGTGCTACCACAACCACGATCCCGAGACCCAAGAGGATAGCGAGGAAGATCCGATGGTGGTGTTCGAGGGGAACTTACTGAAGAAACGTTCTTCAAAGGTTTGTTTTTCCCATGTATTTTTGTTCTTTAAAATTCGATTTTGTATCCCAAAAAACAACAACAAAAATTCGTTTCCGCTCCGGGACTCACATCCCTTCAAAGACAACAAAGAGAGAAGGATTGTTGCTATTCTTCATTTCTTCTTCTTTTGTACTCTTTAGTGCACGAGTTTTTTATTTTCTTCTTTCCTTTTCTTATATGACATTAAGTAGCTAAGTTTATTTGTAAGATAGAGCATGTTGTGAACTTGTTCTTGGGCTGTAAACTTTGCTTTGACTTGATGATGATATATATACAGAGTTAAAGTTGTTTTTAACATTTTATTTTCAATGTGCTTGGCCAACATATTGGAATATCTTCTTATTGACTCTTGGAAAATTGTAATACGAAGTGTTTGGCTTCAACTCGTGCTAGATCTACTTAAGTTTAGAGTGTGGGTACTTAGGAATAAGGCTCACCTAGCAAGGTTATAAACTGAGTATATATGCTGTCAAGTTTGTCTAAAAACATGAATTTCAGAAAATCTGGGAAGATTTCATGTCTGTTTGGCCAGTATATCAACTTCGTTAATGCTGCAGCATCGTTAGTGTAGCCCATAAAAATTCACATAAACTCTTCCCCCTTACTCTTTTAAATATCAGTAGTTAACCTCTTGTTTGCATATTTTTCTTTAATCGATTTGGTTTTGCTTGTTTCTGCCTTGTTTTTAATCAGCAATTCAAGTACGCACTATTTTGTTTGAGTTCATTTAGTTTTTCTTGTTCAAAGCATATTTTGTTAATTTTATTATTTTCTTAAGTGATTGTTGAAGTGTTTAGTTATCAATCCCTATGGATACGATCTTTTTATCACTTGCTACAACGGTTGTGTACAGTTGCACAAAGGGTTCTAAACCGTAACAACAAGTTTTTGGCACCGTTGCCGGGGATTGATTCAACTTTACACTGTATATTTTTGCTTAAGAAAATATTTGCTAGACAGATTTGTTTTAACTACTGTTTGGTGGATCTTGAAGGTGGATGCACGATCTGTAAGGGTTGGAATATCTGCTCGACAACGAGATGTAATGTACTTTTCATCGAAGAAGAAGAGCACAACGTAGACAGCAAGTAGAGGTTGGCCCTATGGATCAACTACTAAGAATCATTTACCATTGGTCATATCCCAGAGCCTCAAGTGACAGAACTAGTCAAGGAACTGCTAACGATGATTCAATGGCTTCACTGAAGGCTCAAATTACCAACCTGACTAATATGGTCAAGAACATGAACACTGCTGCAGCATCGTCAACTAGCCATGAAATCAACAATGTATTAGCCATCTCCTATTCTTATTGTGAGGGATGGAGGCAGCACCCCAATTTCAGTTGGGAAGGGAACCAAGGACAGCAAGATGCCTCTCAATTTCAGCAAAAGACGACTCACCACCCTAAGTTCATAATGCCTAATCAACGGCAGTAAATGAAGCCAACAGCAAGTTCCTCCAATTCTATTGAGAATCTAATGAGAAAATACATGACGAATAATGATGCAACACTTAAAAGCCAAGCAGCTTCTCTAAGAAATTTGGAAGTCCAATTGGGGCAAATGGCAAATGAGTTGAAAAATATGCCCCTTGGTATTTTGCCTAATGACACCAAAAATCCCAAGAGAGGGGGGGAAGGAACAGTGTAAAGCTATAATTCTAAGGTGTGGCAAGGCTTTACCCTCACTATATCCTTTGAAAACGCGAGCAGACAAAGTAGATTACCATGTAGAGAAAAATGCAGAGAAGTTGACTGCTAATGATAAAGGAGTGAACGATGCTAGAGCATCGCATGAGTAGATTTCAGAATCGGAAATTCACATAGAGACAGAAGTTCAGGCTGAAATAGAAATTGGCAAAGGAAAAAGAGTAGCAGAAGCTGAATCCGTGGAAAAAGCAGAACCAAGTGAAGCACCAGTCCAGAAAAGTGTAGAAACACCAAGGGAATATAGACCACCACCTCTCTATCCTCAAAGGCTTCAAAAGACAAACCAAGATAATCAACTCAAGCATTTTTTGAATGTGTTGAAGCAATTTCACATAAATATACCCTTAGTTGAGGCTCTTGAGCAGATGCCTAACTATGCAAAAAATTTTAAGGATATCTTGACTAAGAAAAGGAGGTTAGGAGAATTTGAAACCGTAGCTTTAACCAAGGAGTGCAGTGCAATTTCAAAAGACAAGCTTCCACAGAAAATCTGGGATCTAGAGAGTTTTACAATTTCAGTCTCTATTGGTGGAAAGAACGTGGGTCATGCTCAATGCTATTTGGGTGCAAGCATAAACCTTATGTCATTGTCAGTATATTAGAGGTTGGGTATTGGTGAAGCAAGGCCCACCACGGTAACACTACAGCTAGCTGACAGGTCAATCACTCACCCAGAGGGCAAGATCGAAGATGTGTTAGTGCAGGTCGACAAGTTCATTTTCTCAGCTGACTTCATCATCCTCGATTATGAAGTAAACAATGAGATCCCAATAATTTTGGGGAGGCCTTTCCTATCTACTGGCAGAGCACTAATAGATGTTCAAAATGGGGAACTAACCATGAGAGTGAACGATCAACAGGTTACATTTTCTGTTTTTAATTCTGTTAAATTTCCTGCTAATGTAGAAGAATGTTCTCTCTTAAGACTGTTGGGTGTGTTGCCCTAAACTCGTGGCTTGTATTTATGTAAAAATAAATGTATATTCAATAAAGTTTTATTCAATCAATTTGTTGTTGAATTCATAACATTGCATTGTTCAAAATCCAATAAACTAAACATCCAAGGTTATTATCATGTAACCGGGACAGTATATCTGCTGGGTATATATTTGATATACCCTTGATATACTAAGTATATATTTGATATACGCCTGATATACAAGTGGATAATGTCCCGTGAATAACCTAAAGGGTCTATAGTATAAGGATAATGTCGGATACCTTATCATGACAACACTATGGATACGACCCACTTTGTAAATGTTACAGACAACTCGATCCAGGTCGTTCGTGTGGAGACATGCGAGTGGGGGTATCCTATACAATGAATTTGTATAAGACCAGACCGCAAAATAGCCAATCTTTAGATGTAACACAGTTAACTAACAGATTGCTATTTCTTAGGATGACTAGACAACGCATTCTCAATCTTGAGTGAGTTATGGACTCCTGCCCGTGAGGGCTTGTCCTTTGATCATATGGGTGAGATTGGCCCCAGTCGCCGACTCAATATTCCTACCATTTTGGGGACGAGACCAAGTGGGGAGTTGGGAACATAACTTCACAAGATGGAATTCACTCCTCCCCGACTTTAAAGAGTAGATGGGTGTTCTCTTAAATGCTGACTCCAGGACTTGAATAAAGGGTCCCACCCTCTCACTAGCCCGAGAGGGACTTCCGGTTATTGATCAGACCATAACTGGGTTGTTCATTAGAGGGGCAGTGGTATTTAAGGAGTAAGATGTAACTCAGGGGTAAAATGGTAATTTGACCCAACCTGAGTTACGAGCACTCGTGAAGGATTGACTTGTCATTAATGGTCGTATATCCATGGACACGAAAACATTCTGTAGTGAGAAGAGTGCAGCTGCGGATCTTTAGTGGGATGACCCATAGTTAACGAATGTTGATTAACTTGGTCAATGAGTTTGACCGATTAATCTCGTATCGTTGGAACTTCTAATCTGTAGGTCCATTAGGTCCCCTTGTTAGCTCATAACGGGTAAAACGAGGATCAAGAATTATGAAATAATTTGAAATGTTCAAATTATGTAAGGGAATATATATAATGTATATTGATGCATTATATATAAATATATATTAATTTTGGATAGAGATTCAAAACTAATACTATACATTATGAGAGAAATATTTCAATAGGATTCAAATAATTAATATGAATTGGATTCATATTAAAACTATAGGTTAAAAATTAATGCACATAAGATGTACATTAAATCTACAGGTTATACAAGAGAGAATATGGTTTAATTAAATATGAGATATTTAATTAATTGTTAATTATTTAATATTATATTTAATTAAATAATTATTAATTAGATTAATAATTCATAATTATAAATTTGATTAATAATTATTTAATATATTAATTATATTAATTTTAATTAATTAATGTTATTAATTATTAACTCCCCTACATTTTAGCAGGAGAGTGGGGAGTTTAATGACGTGGGGTAACTCCCCACGTCATTTTGTTTGTTTTGAATGCAGAACGGTTCTGCTGGATGAACAGAACAAGAAACATACAAGAACTACCTGCAATTTCTCTCTCAAGGCAAAAAAAAAATCTCTCAATTTTCCCTCGACGTTCCAAATTGATCGCTCCTGCAAGCGAGTTCTCGGTACCCAGAGGATAGAACGAAAGTTCTATTGGTGGTGTTCGGTTTAATCCATTGAAGAAGCATTCTTCAAAGGTAAGGGAAACATTTATTTTCCCCTGTATTTACTTTTGCACATTGGGTTTTGTTTCTCAAAGTTGATGAACAAAGATCATCACTTCCGTTGCGGGATTCACATCCCATAAAAGACTTGCAGGTGACTTGCTGAGTAAGAAAATTCAAAAGGAGACCTTGTTGGATCGCTTGGAGAAAGAACTTACCATAGCCTACGAACATGTAGGGGACACTGTCGATGCTGAAGCATCTTAGCCCACAGGCGGCTCCAGCGATGTAGAAGAAGAAGATTGATTGAGGGGAGTTGGTTTCCCCTGCTTGACATTTTATTTTCCATGCTGATTTACTTTCTGTCTTTCTTATACTTGCTTGCATGTTTTAGATTACTATTTAATTTCTAGTAGTTGTTAGTTTTTCAATGCCTAGGGTAGTTTGCTTTTGTTTCTTAGATGCAGTAAGTGTAATTCATTGAAATGAAAAGAAAAACAAGGTTGAGAATGAGAGATCCAATGTAGAATGGTCTGATAATGCATGCTGATTTCGATAAGGTTTTGCCTTTGATATTTGGTCTATGGAAATTTACAAGATTTCTACTCTTGCTATAGTTAGAAAAGAAAGATACAATTCTTGCCCTTTTTCTAAGGTGCTTTAAAGTAGCATAGGATAGCTTCATTTTGCTAGTATCCCATGGATACCCTAGAAATTTAACCTTAGCAGAATTTCAAGGGTTGATTATCCCTTTCCAACTTGTCAATAAGCTATTGACCTTATAAAAGTAGCAAGAATTCACCCTTCTAGAAACAATCATGATAGGTAGTACTCCTTGTATCATTTATCTTCATCCTATCTTCATTTTTTGTTTGGGGGAGCTTTGTCCTTATTCTCCGATATCATTCACCAAGCATTAAGGACAATGCTTCGCTTTAAATTTGGTGGTGAGGGACTTTCATTTTATTGTAACATTCATTCTTGTAATTCTCTTGCAGTGCAATCATTTGTAAAACTATGCTAAATTTTTGGTCTTGTAATTCAGCTCTATCATTAAAAAAAAAAACATTCCAAAGAGCTGCAGGGTCAGGAATGGCTAGTAGTAGCCCATAGTTGTTAGCTAAAGTCAGTAGCAAGTTAGCAAAAGTAGGAGAGTGAAAATCAGTTCGAGAAAGGAAGTTGGGAAAAGTTTTGAAGGCTACCAAGGGTGAAGGTGGAATGAAGTGGTCTTTTGTGAATAAAGCACCTTAGTCCTAGTGTAAGAGTTGTTTGATTCCTTTCTAGTTTGATGCTTGAGTAGATTGAGAAACTCTTAGCCACAGGAATGGATCATAGGCAATTTGTGAAGTTGTTAGTATGTATTGTTTTTCCATTCTATTGAGTGTAGAGTCCGGAGTAGCATTGCTTGGGGACAAGCAATAGTTCAAGTTTGGGGGTGTGATAACTCTCCAAAAGAGAGTTATTTGTGCAAGAGTTCTATATAAATCAGTTAAGGATAGCCACACTAACACCCAATCTACATTGATTTTGTGCAAAGAATGTTATAAATTCGCTATCCTCCTTATTTTTTATAATAATGCTGAGAGTTATAAAGAATGACCCAATTTTTAATGTTTTGCTACAACATTTTTGATGCTACAGCATCAGAGTCAAAAAGGCAGAAAAAGACAGAGTTGACATTTACAACTTTTACCCGAGAAATTACTGCAGTAAAACAGAAAAATACATGATATTTTGAGCTGGGCCCACTTTATCATTTGTGTTGCCCTAAAATCAAGAGGGGTATAAAAGCTTGCAATTAAGTGCCTCCAACATTCCCCATCCCATCACTTCACTCTCACTTCAAGAAAGCTCTCAAGAAACCGTTGAAGAAGACAACAAAAAGAGAAAGATTGTTGCTATTCTTTATTTTCTTCTTTTTTTGTACTCTTTAGTGCACGAGTTTTGTATTTTCTTCTTCTATTTTATTGTATGACATTGAGTAGCTAAGTTTATTTGTAAGAGGGAGGATGTTGTGAACTTGTTCTTAGGTTGTAAACTTTGCTTTGACTTGAAATGATGATATATATACTGAGTTGAAGTTGTTTTTAACATTTTATTTTCAATGTGTTTGGCCAACATATTGGAATATCTTCTTATTAACTTTTGGAAAATTGTAATAGGAAGTATTTGGCTTCAACTCGTGCTAGATCTACTTGAGTTTAGAGTGTGGGTATTTAGGAATAAGGCTCACCTAGCAAAGTTATAAACTGAGTATATATGTTGTCAAGTTTGTCTAAAAACATGAATAGTAGAAAATCCGGGAAATCTAGGAAGGTTTCGTGTCTGTTTGGCCAATATATCAACTTCGTTAATGATGCAGCATCGTTAGAGTAGCTCAGAAAAAGTCACATAAATGTTTCCCTCTTACCCTTTTAAATATCAGTAGTTAATCTCTTGTTTGCATATTTTTCTTTAATCGATTTGGTTTTGCTTGTTTCTGCCTTGTTTTTAATAAGCAATTCATGTAGCACTATTTTGTTTAAGTTCCTTCAGCTTTTCTTGTTCAAAGCATATTTTGTTAATTTGATTATTTTATTAAGTAATTGTTGAAGTGTTTAATTATCAATCCATGTAGATACGATCTTTTTATCACTTGCTACAACGATTGTGTACACTTGAACAAATGGTTCTAAACCGTAACAACAGATACGAAAGAGGAAAGAGAGCAAGATGATTTAATTTGAGAAGGAAATGGAAATTCTACCAATGTAAATCTAATCTCTACTAATGATAATTTACCTAATGGTCAAATTCCTAAAAAATATTCATTTAAAGCCAAAGAAAAACTATATAAAAAAGAATAATAAACCTCGTTGTTCAAATAAGAAAGATCCAAGCCAAGTGAATAAGAACCAATCACATCCTCAACACTCAAGATT